TCTCGGCAGTGTCTTCCTCCTGCGGTACTTTGGCCCGCGCTGTTTTCCGCGTGTCCATGTTCGAATTACTTCTGACACTAGTTGAAGTACCGGTGAAGACGCTTGACGCCGAGGTTGAGGCACACGTATATTTATTCACAATACGACAGTGGGCATATACACACTCGAGGGGGTATCGGCCCCCTCACCCGTATAACTCGGGATACACCCCTAGCTAATTCTGTCCTAGCCCCGAATCCTCCACTAATGGGCTAGGGGAGGCTAACTGGCCCGACACTGGTAAGTCGGGCCCGGTACCCGGAGTTCCAGACCAGCTCTTACAAGAGCACCGGCTCTGGCTTTCGGGACCACGCCGCTGGCTCAGTCCTGTCCGGCCCTAAAAAGGACATCGAACCAGGGGAGTCCAGGGCTCTATTTAAGACGTCTTCAGTCTTCTTCCCTTAGCTTAAACATAACTGCCGAGCCCTTTGAAACATCCCCTTTTATACCCAACCCCTCCCTGAGGGGTGGGGCCCCGGGGGATCATAACGTTCGAACCAGCCCCCCCCCAGGGTGTCTGGCTCGGACGTCGTAGAGAGCACTTGCTCGTGCACTTACGTAGCCCCGCCCACTGTGTTTGTTTTCCATAGGCTGCCATGCATAACGGGCCCTCTTTTTAACACCCCTACAGATGCACAAATACTAAGCTATTGTGAAAGCCACCACCCATCCCCCGGCCGCCCTACAGTAGTAGTAGTATCTACCGACTCTATAGTAGTATCCACTTACTATAGTAGGATCTGCTGACTCTATAGCAGTATCTACTGACTGTAGTGGACTCTACTGACTGTACAGTATCTAATGACTATAGTAGTACCTATTGACTAATATCTACTAACTCCATAGTAGTATCTGCTGACTATAGTATCTGCTGGCTAGCAGTATCAACTGACTCTATAGTCGTATCTACCGACTATGTAGGAGTATATACTGACTAGTATTATTTACTGAACCTAATAGTATCTACTGACTGTAGTAGTAATAACTGACAGTAGTAGCAACTGACTGAATAGTAGTATCTAATGACTGTAGCATTATTTACTGACCAATGTATCTACAGTACTGACTGTAGTATTATATACTGACTCTATGGTAGTATCCACCAACTCTATGGTAGTAAATACTGACTCTATAGTAGTATCTACTGAATCTATAGTAGTATCTACAGACTCTGCAGCCGTATATACGGACGAAAGTGGCATCTACTGACTGTAGTAGTATCTACCGACTCTATAATAGTAGCTACTGACTCTATAGTAGTGTGGTGGCATAACATGCGGGTTTGCAACTAGGGGCTGCATTTGAGGGCGAACAGGTGCAAGCGGTAGGACATGAAGTGGCCGCCAGAAAGGCGCCAGCAATTAGGCGGAGAATCAATAATTAATCGGGTGCATTTGGGGACTGGCAGGTGCAAGCGTGGGAACACTGCGTAGATACCAGAGAGGCGGGAGATGGAGATGATATGAGAGAACACGTGCCGGAGGTGCTGCTGAGGTGTCGGCTTAATGGGGGGGTAACTGAGGCCCCTTAATGAGGGGGGGATATAAGGGTGTGTGTGGCGCAACACGGGGCAGTTGGTTGGAGCTGATGGAACAAAGAGCCTGGGACCTCGCCCGCCACACTCGTTCTCTCCAGCGGTGTTGGCTGATGGGCGCAAGGATGAGTGAGAGGTGTGAGAGGAGTGACAGGCTAGCGGAGTGATTAATTGACAGGTTAGCTGGGTATAGTGACAGGTTAGCGGAGTATAGAGAGGGAGTTCGGAGCAAGGGTACGTTGTTAGTTCCATATGGGATGCGAAGTAAAGTGACACAGGAGAAGTTATTTTTTGGTTTATATAGAATGAAATTACATAAAATAATAATAACATACGACGTTTCGATTGCAACACAAGCAACCATCATCAGGTACAAATGAACGAGAAAACAAACATAGTAAACTTGGAAATAATGCAATACAACACAGTCGGCCAACACCAGTTAATACCCCAGCTGGTTGATTGCGTTCCTCCAAAGATTACTAAATTTGAGAGACAAGAGACATTAGCATGTCAATGAGAGATTTGGAGCTTTCGTGACTGCAGGAAATACTACAACATGAGGAGAGGACACAAAGAAAGCGAAAAAACACTTAATCAAATAAACTTTATTTTGCACCTGATGATGATTGCTTGTGTTGCAATCGAAACGTCGTATGCTATTACTTCATTTTCTTTCTGCATGACTTTACCGAAAGAACCAGATAGTAATTCCTGCAGTCACGAAAGCTCCAAATCAAGTTTGAATACATTGTTAATTTAACTACTTTAAACTTGACGGAGGCGAAATACGAATAGTGCTTTTTCATCCCGGGGCATATCGCGTGGTATCTGGGTACTTTTATATGTAAACCCCACCATTTGTCAGTTAAGTGTCACAAGGTACCCATGCAGACAGGCACAGGCAGACAAAGTGACTTTTATAGGTAAGATAAAAGCCCGACGTTCCATTTTTCCGTTTGTGCGTCAATTAAGTTACGAGAGCCTTTCAGATGGTTAGAATCAAAAAGTTATAAAAAAAAAAGTGACCCGCCCCCCTTCCCAGGTGTGCGGGTAAAAAGTTGATCCAACAGTTTTGCAAAAAATTTCGACCCACCCCCAAAATGTTTTTTTTTCTCCCCCCCCCCCCCCAATTTTTTTATTTTTTTATTTTTGTATTTTGTAGGAATGTATACATACACACCCTACATACAATAAAGTCAGTAATATGTGCACACATTGGGGATGGGGGGGGGAGAAGAGGACATCATTGGAGGGGTTGGTGATGCGAAGCAAGAACTAGAATAAGGCAGCCATAGGCTGCCGAAATTCTTGTATGAAATGGTAAGTTATGAAGGCTGGGAACGTATCCTCATAACACTAATGTTATATTAACACGTAGGCTTTCGCGTCCAATGTCATCAATAATACAGGTTTGTGTTAGATCGCGTAAATATATAAAAAAGGACCCTGCGGGGTGGGCTGGTAGGAACGAACAATTGAATGGCTATAATAAAACGAAATGGCAAAAAACGGCCGCCAATAAGTGGATGCCCCGTGGCCCCGACCTCCACTCGCGTAACCCCGCCCCGGCCACCTGTGGCCCCGCCCCATCTCGGTGTCCCCGCCCCCAGCTCGTTGCTCTGCCACTTACCGCCGTAACCCCGCCCCAACCCCGCGTAGCCCCGCCCTCCACCTCGTGCCCACGCCCCCTGCCGCCGTTGCCGCGCCCAGCCCCGCGTAGCCCCGCCCACTGCTGCTGTAGCCCCGCCCAATACACCCCTAGCGGGGGAGAGATTCCCAGGCCTGGCTCTAGGCTGGAGAGCCGCCGACGAGGGGGGGTTAGGGAGTTGTTTTTAATGTAAAAGCTTTCAATTTAAATGTTTCTATTAAAAAACATCAGTGAATGTAACATTGTTAAACATTAACTCCCTTTCACACACGCAGGGGAACGATACAAAGGGAGAGTTAGAGGCCTAGTTCTAGGCTTTAGGCCTAGCTATAGGCTTTAGGCCGCTGTGAGTTAAATTTTAATTTACAAGTTTTAATTAAAAGCTATCTCAGGGAATTATAAGGGAATGTTACACTTGTTTAGCCAGGAAAGCCTCATTAATTGAAATGTTTTAATTAAAAGCTATCTGAGGGAATTATAAGGGAATGTTACACTTGTTTAGCCAGGAAAGCGTCACTGAGTCTAAAGGTTTTTTGTAGGGTCATGCCAAGTGTTTGCAGTAGGGGGTGATGTTGCTGGATGGACAGACGGACAGACGATATAATCTATTGTAGGCTGGTCCACTTCGTTCCTACCAGTATTAGTTGTTAAACCTGCAGCCACCCGACACAGCCATGGATCGTAGGCAAGCCACCCTGTTTGTTTCAAACCTGTGCAGATGTTCCTTCAAAGGGGTACACGGTTCGTAAGCATAGAAAAGGGAGGGGATAACTGTTCGACAAGACTCAGAGCTTTGTATGAAGCAATAGGGCCAGGTAGCTTCCACACAGCAGAATTTCGCAGTCGATGAAAATAAACCCGAGCTGGTCATGAGCACACGGTCCAGGTAAGAGAGCTTCTTCACAACTGCCCACCACTAACAAAGTGGAGGGTAGTAGTAGGTTTTTACCCTTTTAAACTGGTACAAAACTGACACCTTTATTCAAGGCATCATGTTTGCAACAACCACAACACAAGTAGTCAAAAAAGCAAACAAAAAGAAGCAACTATGATAATGATAATAATATGCACTGATTGGTCCACATCCGAGACGGCTTTCTTTCGAGCCTAGTCCCCATTGGTGTTGGACCAGATGACACCAGAATGCGTACAACTCAAACACAGTGCAATATCAGAGTATTGAGAGCTCGGGGTAAGCATTTACACTATGATATCTCTTTTGTGCATGGGTTTCCTCTCGGTGCTCCAGTTTCGTGCCATAGCTTAACACATGCACTGCAATGGGTGTTGGTTAAACATCCCAATGTGGCTTTCCTGGGTAAATAATGACTGTTTTCGTATTGTGTATGGCACTGTTGAGGAGCTACATGCTTTTTACACCTTCTTTAATAGTGTACTTAAAGAAATAGGTTGGTTTGTTAAGAAGCCTGTTTTTCAACCTGTTATTTATGTTGGGGATTGGCTAGCTAGATTATGCTACTGTTCGTTTGTGTTATTGCTTTTTGTGTTCTGCCTTTGTTTCTTAAACATGATTCACACAGATGTTTTTGACAATTCTTTTTTTATTGGTAAACTATTATATTCTATTGCGCTTGTCAATATGTTCATAAGTTAAATGCCAATGTCGAAGCCTGCTACTCATGAGGGGGCTTCGGGAGAGTGAGAGAGAGTGCAGTTTTACTTTTGACGGAGTGCAGTCTGTAGTGGTGTCCAATATGATCCTGAGTTTGGGTTTGTCATTGACTATTATTGTTGATTTTAAAGCAATTGCTTTACCTTCAGGGTGGCGATGGCTGGGTCCAGCTGAGTCAGAGTGATTGTTTGGGTGGCGAGCTGCTTTTTAGTCAAGAACTCTTCCGCCCTGACCACCACGCTCACGTCTTCCGTGAGGCCGCGTGCGTCCACAAGCACATTGACGTCGCTCCCAATGAGAATCACACTCGGGACTGAGAGGAGAACCCTGGATGCAAATACGTGAAGGGACAGCAACATCATCCATATCTATTATATATTTGAGTGTGCATGTTCTCCCCGTGGTCGTGTGGATTTTTTTTCCAGGTCCTCCGGTTTTTCTCTCCAGAATCATGAGACTCACTAAGGGTATCTTGGATAAACGTAAAAATACGTTGGCTCAAATGCCAGACGCTTTATAAGAGTTGTATATTACAGTGTGTATATTGTATCTGTGTATGTATGTCGTTTCTATGTACCTAAAATATGTCGTTAACTCAAGTTCCTAGCCTTCTAGAATCTATCTATTTGATCAGGTGGATTATCAATGGTAATCATTTGTTTAAATAAAATTCCGGGGCGTCTCAGCGTTTTACACGCAAGAAGTGACTTGCATAACATCTCAAACATTCAAAAGTGCGCCTAAGTGCACACGATGACTTCGCACCTGGCCTACAATCGGGCTTTAGTCTGCTAGTAGGAGGTGATAATTTTTACTTCATGCGAAATGCTAATTGTGTAATTTGCAGTGACATTTTTCGAATTTGGCAAATTGACACCATATTGACAGCACACAGTGGCCGACTCACTTCAAATACTGTAATGTCAATGGAATATTAACGTCCAATGTGAGTGAAGCCGACAGTGCATATTTCTTAAGATTATTTCACACTGCCGTATTAATCAGGTTGGTTTTTCCCAATTCGAACCAGAAACATCTATGATAGGGGCTTAATTCGACATTGCTGGGCCATATCACCTATGTCGTGCTTAATATAACACACATTGTACACGTGCAGTATTACTTACATAGGGTCTTGGGTCACACTTGTTCCCACAGACATCAGCAACAGCAGTAAACCCAGTGCATGGGCAGCCATGGTTTGTAAATGAAGTCTGTACGTGTGTGTAATAATGCTCCACATATATATGCCACGCAAGAATGCACTCGTATGTGGGCACTTGTGTACATGATTTGCTTTATCTGTTTGCATGAGTGAATCATTGGAAAAAAAATAAACATAACTTTACTCTTATCGCTTGGGAATGCAAGGTTTGTTTTCGGGAAATACATTGAGCAATACCAGATTTGTGGCTTCCACTGCTAATTTCTATTACAACTAAAAACGTACGTATAAAATGTAAGCAGTAAAAGTGGATACAAATGAAATGAAGTGATAAATGTGCCCATATTAACTGATCATCATTGGGGAGCAATGGATCGATGTTTACATCGTACTTCAGATTGGTACACCCGCCCCCACCCCCCAAGGAACTAATGCTCAAACCAGCAGTGACCGAATTCTGCAAACTCCAACTCTGAGACCCAGTCTCACTAAAGACAAAGATCCCCCCTATAGCCTTAACAGACTGTTGGGGCAAGTGCTGTTGGCGAGCACCTATTCAGGCCAGATCGACACTCGAGGGGGTGGGTGGACAGCACCATGTCCGGCTGCCTTTGTCTCCCTAGTGGTGATGTTTTAAACACCACACCAGGTACAACCTCGAGGAGGCACAGGGCAAGTTCAGATATTCGTTACCGACTTTAGCTGTGAGCTGGAATCGTACTCGGGCCACCAGGTTCGTAGCACAATGTGCTAACTGATATACTACTGCTCTCCGGTCTCACCACGATCTATACATCTGATGTCATGCAACCCTCCAATTGTCATACCATTGGGCCGACACTCTTAAGTTCTACAACTTAACGCCGAGGCTTTGTCAGCGTCCAACGTGCAGAATGGAGTGCTCATTGGCCGAATTTCCGGTTCAACGTACTCGAGTTCCGCACCCATTGTGCTACGATCTGCTGTGGAAATGCTGACCCCGATCCAACCGTCTTCATCACTTGTTGCAATGCCTCGCACCTGGTTGTGGTGCAGATCTGGTCAGTACGTCTTCCACCCTACCTCCACACGGTTACGGAAGAGTGCCTTCATCGCCATACTGCTGCTAATTTTGGGTATCCTGCCAAATCCTGGATTGATCAATGCACGCTCCATCGACACGATGGTGCTGATCCAGGATCTGATTAATGATTGTTCACTCAATATATTGGCCGTTCCGGAAACATAGGTATGACACGCCGAACGTAATTAAGCATGAGGCTGCACCTAACGCATACCCTATTTGAGATCTGCACCATTGAGGAAAGCCTGGCAACGACAGCCCTCATGGTGGTGGGTTCGCACTGATTCACCGTGAAAATTATGAACAGTATGCAGGGGGATTACGCTCGCTCTCATTTATTGACCACCATCTTCACCACTGTCAGAATTATTTTGAGAATTTTCCAGTCTGCCAAACTGTGGGTCACTTGGCTTTCACTACATGATCTGTGGTGACCTAAACTGTTCAAGATCGACTGGTTCTTGTAGTAAAATCAATAGTAATCTTTCCAAGATTATCTATAGTCACAGTTTAACCCAGAAAGTCAGTGGCAGAACATGTTGATCGAGAAATGTCCTGGATCATATCTTTCCATCCACCAATTCTGTAACTGTGACCGTTGTTATAAAAGTGAATATTTCAGATCACAGCCTCATGACATGCAATGTGGTATTACCGATTATTCTCCCACCAATCACTGTATCATACAGAGAATGGAAATGACTGGACCACGTTGTTTTCCCATCAGAAAATTCAGTCATTGGCGTGTCTAAATTATGCGTTGACGGTCTATACATTTGCAGCTCAATGAGAAAATGACATCACTGCTGAATATTGATGAACTCATGCCCATCCGAGCAAGCACAAAGAGAATGGGGAAACATGCAGTAATTGGCTGTCACCAGAGACGATCCCAGCAAAGCAGACCCAGAGGAGGCTGAAGCGTCTTTGAAAGAAACTGGTTTCAACACTTACACTGAGAACTCCTTTACCAGTGGCAATATATAGCAGTAGGTTTTTACCCTTTAAACTGGTACAAAACTGACACCTTTATACAAGGCATCATGTTTGCAATAACCACAACACAAGTAGTCAAAATGCAAACAAAAAGAAACAACTCTGATAATTATAATAATATGCACTGTCCATGAAGTTGATTGGTCCACACCCAAGACAGCTTTCCTTAGAGCCTATTCTCCATTAAAGGGTAAAAAGAGGGGCCCCTGTAGAGGACCGCGGGGCTGTCGTGTGGAGTTGGATCTCATCGTGCTGCTGTCGTCTCCGTCTTCACATCTCGGTGTCGCCATTCAGGCAGTCTACCAGCTGTCCTGACTGGGAACCATAAAAATGGGTTAGGGAGCAAAGGGAGAGCCAAACGCCAGGTAGGGGCGGGGCATCGGTTGAAAATTGAAAGGTCGGCGCCCCGATTGGCCAGGCAGGGAATGGAACGTGACCCTGGATGTTTTTTAGTTTGGAGGGGATAAAGGGAGGGAGGGGAAAAACGTTAGTGAGTTCTCATCCAGTCGGCCAGCTACCCAGTCGGACTCCCAGCCGCTCGGAGCGTCCGAGAGATGTTGGCGAGTGCAGCTACAACTCGGCCCAGGCAGGGATCGTGAGACACTGAGTACATCTGCGAGGTGAGAAGTAGCGTAAGTGTCCACCTAAGGATTGAATAGGAATAGATTAGGCGCTGCTCGCTGATAATTTTTGCTCCGAGAAACGCAGAGTTTTTCATCAGGCGCACCATTAATAAACTTTAGCACAAAGCACTGACGCCGCGTGGTTTCGGTGGGTGTGGGAGGGTGTCGGCGTGGTGCGTAATTCGACCTGCGCCAAACAAGGCTAAATTGAAAATTTCAGACTCCATGCGCTTTACTCTTCAGAGTTATTCTGAAGCACGAGAGGCTTCTAGATAAAAATTCCCATTCGCGGCAATTGGCAACTGAGCGGCTGAGGAGTGTCTGTCTTTCCGCACTTGAGTGGGCTCCAGGTGACAGAGCCTGGCTGCACTATCCACAGATACCAGTGGGTACCTCACCCACATTTTTTAAACCATGGAGGGGGCCGGTTGATGTGGTTCGGGTCGTTCAGCCCCAGTGTTCAAATTTGGTGGAGTCGGCAGAGTTGGTTCGTAAATCCCTCGCGCCTCAAGCCCTTCATCACACTGCATGAATTCATCCCATCTCCACTACACAGGGGCCGAGTGTCAGATGTGTCCGGCGAGCTGAGGTGTGTACCCGCTGAGGTTGGTGCTCAGGGGAGTCATGTGATCCCGTCCTCAGGTGCCTCACATTTAACATCTCTCAAGCCGCCACCTACGCCGTCTCCACGAGAGGATCGATGGGACATTTACAGATTCCCCCCGAGATCCCCAGGGAGAGAACGACCACGTCCCCTGTTGGCCCAATCAAAGACACTTCGGTTTTCGTGATCCCCATACAAACACGCTCCCACACCGTCAGTTGGTTGTCGCACTCGGCAGGCCATGTTAGTTATTGGCTGAACCTGGCCTTCATGGTGTTTGCGGGTGTTGTTACACGGTGAGGGTGGGAGATGCTGGTGCTGGAGGGGATCCCGAGGTTCACGTGTTACTGCATTTTCTTTTTTTATCTTTCTCTCTCTTCCTTTGTTTAGCCTATTGTTCTTCTGTACTTTCGTCCTCTTTCCCCGTTAGTTACTATATCTTCTTTTAACCTATATAATTCATTTTTTGTCTGTCTGTCTGTCCGTCCATCCGTCTGTGTACGCTCGCTTCCGGGGGATTTAGCTCTCGGACCATGGGGTTCGCCGAGATTAAATTTTGCAGGTGGGCACGCCCCCGGCCCAACGGTAAACATTTCCGATTTTTCGTCTCTAAACTTGAAATCGGACCGATTATCGATTTAGTGCAATTTATCTTTATTTATTTATTTACTATTGCCGACCGGCACGTAACGAAGCATGCCGTTGCGCATGCGCGAAGGCGGTTGCCCCTGGCAATGGGCGGTTGGCACCTGGCAACGGGCAGCAACACCGTCGCTGCGGGGTGGACGCCATTTTTAATTCCTGTTAAAGATATGCGCACGCATTAACACGCGACGCTGAGGTAAATTCATCAAAGTTTCACGTCCTCTTCACTCCCCCCCCCACCCCAATGTGTGCAATTACTATTATAGGGTCGGTAGATAATAAAATTATAGCGATTAGACAGTATTATTGTAGCGTGGGGGGGGGGGGGTAACGGCCACCAACCCAGCCTCGGCTGGGTGGGCAATCTAGGCGAAGCCGAAGGCTCTGCACGGTACTATGCCTCGACACCCCACACGTCTCAGGCGACGACTTTGTGGTATAAACTCGATATACCCAGCGTTGCCCGGGGGGAAAATACATTTAAAATCTTCTGAAAACTTTAAAACATAATATACCAATGAAAATACAACTGTGTAATTAAAAATGTAAAACCGACCACGCCAAGAATCGATTCTCTGAATTGCGCAAAGGAATCGAAGGTTGTAGATTCATTTAGAATCGCCCTGTTCCCGTTTAATATAAGTTGGTTATAGAGTTGATATAAACTGCTACGAATGGGAAATATCCGGCGTTGACCGTGGCAAAAATATAATTAAAAACTACTGAAAACTTTAAAACATAACATATCAATGAAAATAAAACTCTGTAATTAAAAATGTAGCCCAAGCGCGAAAAGAAGCGATTTTTTGCAATCGTTGCGAAGGAATCGAGGGTTGGAGATTACTTTAGAATCTCCCTATTCCCTTTTTTTAACAAACTGCGTGTCGCCAACAGACACACACATTCACACATTTAGCTTTTACATTTAACATACAAAACGTCAGCATGTACTGCTGTCATCATAGGCAAAAATATATACACCCTCACCACTCCTTCACCACTCTCCGTCACTCACCCTCACCACTCACCATCACCACTCACTATCACTCACCACTCACCATCACTCACACTCACCCTCACCACTCACTCTCCCTCACAACTATCTCACCAC